TTTGCTTAGAATATGTCAGGCCAACATGCGCTTTGCCTAGCAGTCGACGGACCTTCTGCTGTACCGCAGATATTGGCGCGTTACACATGACCATGACGGATGTCAAGTTGTGCAGCAGCGTAGCCAATATACGATCTTCCTCCAACTCCAGTCGTTTCCGTTCCGAATCTGACAGAGTGCGATACCTGAAGAGAATGATCTTTAGCACAGCAAATGAACTATACACAAATAATCTGCAATTAAATAATGAACATAAAATGATACAGGAACCATGTAATGCACGCTGAAACAAAAATTCGTATGACTTTAAAAGCCATATGGAGCTCTGTCATCTGTTATACAATTATTAATATTACTCAATCTTATAATATGCTGATTTTATTACAAAGATTATTACGAAAAACTAATACCACAAATTATAAATTTGATTCATTAATATACAATATGTACAATTTACAAAAGCCTTCTATCAATGAATTTTACGAGATACTGCACCGATTCCCTTTCAAGCTGCTTAAGGGCCATTTAAGAAAATGAATGCTCTGGGAATTTCAGCAACTGCAGAGCTAGACGCGGCATCATTATCGAGTTAAGCGTTTTAAGCGAATGTTAACATATTACGTCATAAAAACCCACATTTTTGGTCTGTAAAAAAATTTTACCTTTAATTAGCTTTATTAACGATAATATGCTACTGCTGCAAGTTTGACACATAACAGCACGGATCATGTTAATGTACTGGTCTTTGACATCAGTCGCAGTCAAGGATATTTTCTTAAAAGATATCTAACCATTTCATCAAGGGAGAGAGCATGACGTAGATATACTATCTTCGAAAATGGTAAATCGTCCAAACAGGTTTAGATCAAATCTAAATTAGTTTTCACTCAAAACTCATAATGCTTAGCTGTTACTGCATTACCGCCTAAGCCTCAGCTTACAACAAAGTCGCGGCGTAACCTTAGATATGCAGGCAACATTGCTCAGGCTTAGATACAAGACAGGTCCGGTAAAACCACGGTATTATCGGATTTGAGTGAACCACGTTATCAAGGTGAAGTGTCTGCACGTGGTTTTATGCTAAGCGAGCAAATCAAGCAAATTGGAGAGTCAAAAGCAGAAACAAACGTGAAAGTATACCTTTCAATCATTTCTTGCGGTTCTTGGTCCATTCCAATAATATCCCTCTCTTGAGCAACAGCGTCGATGAACACGTTCTCCCAGAACAACATGTGGGAAGTCAGAGGTCCAAGAACACCTGCCAAGTAGAAATTGAACATTACAGTTGATGATCACATTACTGATAAACGTGCGAAGCAACATACTAATCCACTGCGCATCTGCCCCCCCCCCATTACCAAA